GAAACCACATGTTCCATAGATGGGTAAAATCAGAATAAGGTGCAAATTGTGTTTATGTATTTTTGGAGTGAGGCTATGACATGTGTGTTCTAAGAAACAGCAGAAGAATCCTGCCTATACACTACACAAAATAATTTCATGTCACATGATTTGTAGAAATGTTTGCTTGTTTGAACAGGCTCTTACTATGTCATTTCAAATGGCCTTGAACTCACTGTAAAGCACAGGCTCACCTTGAACTTGCTGTCATCCTCCTGCCTCAGGCTCTTGACTCTTGGGGTTATATGCATGTATTGCTATCCCTAACTAGGAAAAGTCATGGCAGATGCAAGTCTCCAGGTGCCTGCAGTGCAGCAGCCCATGCTGTCTGGATGCCTACAGCAGGCAACACTGTGTTTGCACAATATCTGTGCCTGATACAGCTCTTATTGGCTGCCCCCTCTCATCACTTTACGTTCCAAGCACAGCTTAGTGTTCTTCCTTATCACATTGGTATCTACCCAGTTCACTGAGAAGTGCTTGACCTTTCTGAGTTTGTGTCTGTCTGTAATTTTTCTTTCTGTCTGTCTCATCCTCAGTGCATAAAACAAAAACAAAAACAATGTGCAATCTCGGGGTGCATAGTTTCCCTCAGCCTCTTCTGAATGCTGCAGGAATTGACCCTTAAGCTTTAATGACAAATATTTGGGGACCTGTGGATTCTGATCCATCCCAATTATTGTTTGTTCTACTTTCTCTCCTCAGTTTATGGGAGCAGGAAGAAAATGAACTTGGGCCAGATTCACTAGATGAAAATTATTTCCTTCCTACCTGTCTTCCTGATGAGCCCGAGCCCGATGAATGTACAAGCATTGTTACCTTCCCATCACAGAAGCCTGAAGACCGCTCTGTTCTGGATGGGTCCAGTGAGTACTGACATCACCCTGCAGATAAGTGCAGCTCTTCTGTCTAGGGCTGTCTGTGCTCAGCTGCTGTGTCTCATGTGAGAGAGGTGATTGCAGGAGGCCCAGGAGGCCTGTTTTCTTTCAGACCTTGTACAGAATCAGGCCTATCTGTGGCTCCTCTGATTTGGTCTCCTAATCTCTGAAAAATGAATCTCATAGTCTCTATAGCTACTTTATTTTAGAATGGAATATCTGTGAATGGAATGTCTTTAAAATGATGATCAATTTTGGTTGTCTATAAACACCTGCCCGGCAAGTGCAGCCTGTTTCTTCACTTTTGACATGGCTGTTGTCAGTAGTCAAAAAATTTATTAACTCTAAAGCCATAGTTTATAATAAGATATATTATCTGTTTAATCCTATGAGTTTTGGAAAATGCATAATATCAGAGATCCTCAGAGTCTGTGTCCTGAAAGTTATGAATCTAGCTGTGTTTCCCTAGTACTGAAAGAACCAAGGCTTTGTGTACCATCAGTAATGCGGTTCTTATTCGGAATTACATTGAAATGTTACCTTGATTCACAAATAATTGATATATTCATAGCATTGAG